CTTTGTAGAAAAAGTTAATCAGTTAAATATTCGTTGGTATTGTCTTTGTAAGAATTGTAACTTCCCAATAATTGATCGTGGATTTTTTTTTTAGTATTAGTCAATTCTAGGGACTTCCGAATTGGTCATAGTATCTTTGTAGTATTAGTCAATTCTAGGGTTGTTAATTCTTATTTTGTCCTGGTATTTTTGTCGTATTAGTCAATTCTTGGCAGTAACTTACGAATTGGTCCTGGTGTCTTTGCAGTGTTAGTCAGTTTTGGGAATTTCCGAATTGGTCCTGGTGTAGTATTAGTCAAGTCAATTCTAAGCTTGTTAATTCTTATTTGGTTATCGTGCCTTTATATTACCAGCAAATTTTTGGGTATGTAATTCTTTATTGGCCCTAGTTTCTTTGTGGTTCCATCCAATTTTATGATAGTTAATTTTCATTTGGTCCTGGTTGTCTTCGTAACATTAGTCAATTCTAGGGAAGTAACTTTCAAATTGGTTGTAGTGTCTTTGATATATAATCAGTTCTAGAATTTTTAAATCTTATTCGGTCCTGGTGCCTTTTTTTCAGTTTTTCAACAATGAGCCCATGGTCCTTTTTTATTTAAAACTTTATTTTTCTCTTTTTGACAGTAGTGTCGACGTTTCGAGCAGTTTGCTCACCTTCTGTGACTATTGTTTAGGTTGGGAGAGCCGTTCGTTACGGCAATCCATGCTCGATTACACCTATAATAATAGTTCCGAAGATGAGCAAACTGCTCGAAACGTCAACACAAAAAAAAAAGAAAAATAAAGTTTTAAATAAAAAGGACCACGTGCTCATTGCGGGAAAATTATCCTTACAAAATAAAATTTATACACTTTCATGTGGAGAAAGAACAAATTGAAACTATGAACAACATGATAATTCATATTTGGTCCTGGTGTTTTAGTAGCAATATCCAGTTTTAGAGTAGATAATTCTTATTTAGTTCGGGTGTAGTAGTATTAGTAGGGTTTTTATTTGTTATTGGATCTTGGTCTCTTTATGGACTATAATGGAGTAGGACTGAATCGGTGGAAACATTGGGTCCGTCTACACTCGCAGGTTTTGATGACACGCCTATTAGGTATATTCAGTGCCAGTTCAACATTTATACTTTTATACAGGGTGTGCTTTTTAGATGGACCGGCAGAATTTCTTTTGAACCAATGACGCTATCAAAAACCAAAACTACATGTTTAATAGTTTCTAATCTAGATTCAAATTTTTACCTTTTTTTGGACAAAAAGTATAAAGGGTACCTCAGGCCCAGTTCCACTTAAAAATTCAAAAGACATCGTGACATATCATTTTAAAGGATTTTTTACGCTGAAAACAATAGTGCAATCGAATTTTAAATTGGTCAAAAAATGACAAAGTTATGGCAATAAGTAACCGGCAGCGAAATTTCGACGAGGAACTGAGTATGTCATGTATGTTCGCAAAAATGAATCTGAAATGTTGGAAGGGTTCTTTGGTTTTTCAAAAAATAAAATTAGTGATATACTCCGGGCTTACAATTTTAAGCCATATCGCTCTCATCTTGACCAGGGACTTCGGAACTCTGATTATGACAGGCGTCTTAACGCTCCTTGCATAATGCCGATTTGGTAAGCTGAAGAAAACCTTCCTTACATCCTATGGGCTGATGAATCCAAGTTCACCTCTAATGGCATCCTAAACCATTGTTATTGTCGAACGTGTGAGGAGGAAAATCCGAGAATTTCGTACTCTTGTCATCATCAGGTGGTTCACAGTATTATTGTTTGGTGTGGGCTTCTCGGAAATAAATTAATTGTGCCTTATTTCTACAAATTTAAATGATGCTCAGTTCCTCAATTTTTTGAGGAAGGTTTTACCAACACTATGAGATGATGTTCCTCTGCAAAACCGTCAAAGAATGGTTCTCCAGCTGCTTGTCAATCCATCTCATCTGACTACCTCTCTGAGCACCAGTGAAGAGTGGTTAAAAAGAGCAATTTTTTCCATATTTACTCAAGGCAGACTGTGATTAATAAATATCAAACCAAATTACTGGTTTTTTTTCAAACTTTTTTCTACCTTTCCTAGGTCAGAGTTCCTATCCATCTATCCCGGATGTCTGACCTGCAAACAATTGTGTGCGGGGCATCCATCAAGCTGGAGAATCATTCTTTGTCGTTCTTGCAGAGGAACATCGTCTAATGGTTTTCGTAAAACCTTCCTGAAAAAATTGAGGAATGAGTGCCATTTAAATTCGTAGAAATAAGGCACAATTAATTTATTTCAGAGAAGTCCACACCAAACGTGGATACTGTGAACCACCTGATGAGGACAAGAGTACGAAATTCTCGGATTTTCCTCCTCACACGTTCGACAAAACAATGGTTTAGGATGTGAATGAAGTCCCTGGACAAGGTGAGAGCGATAAGGCTTAAAATTGCAAGCCCGGTGTACATCTATATATATTTTTTTTTTGAAAAACCAAAAAAACCCTTCCAACATTTCGGAGAGAAGAATTTGGATTTTCGCGAACATACATGGCATTTTCAGCTACTCGTCAAAATTACGCTGCCGGTTACTTTATGCCATAACTTTGTCGTTTTTTGACCAATTTAAAATGCACCATTGTTTCCAGCGTAAAAAATCCTGTAAAAGGATGTGCCAGGATGTATAAGGTCATGTTTGAAATTTTTGTGTTGAACTTGGCCTGAGGTAACCTGTATAATTTTTGTTTTTCGATAGCATCATTGGTTCAAGAGAAATTAAGCCGGGCCATGTAAAAAGGACACCCTGTATATCTATCTATACATCATGGTGCCTGTAGTATGTATCACGAAAAACAAAACAAAATTAAAGAATTTGAGTTTTTATACTGAAATCCAATTTCATCTTTTTCTGCTATATTGTTTTTTGTTTTTGGCGTATTTTTTACGCTAAAGTTGTATTCTAGTCAACATTAAAGTTGATAATTAGTCAATTATAATTATTTTGTTATTAAATAATTAATGTTCCATTGGGATTTTTTTCATTTTTCTCGCGGCTTAATTGATCATTGTCCATATTTTTTTTTATTTCGCACCATTTCAAAATGAAAAATTAAAGAGATAGAGAGAGAAGAGTTGGTGCCGTTTTTCACGTATTTCCTCCGTTCCCGGACACGAGGGCTTTGGTGAACGGCGAAGCGGACGATTTCATCAAGCTCTTCGTGGCTTATGATGTGAAAGGCAAATGACTTTAAGGAAGGAAGAAGGTGGGCGAACTTTCTCATGGCAATAGCTGAAGGGTTAACGCCCGGGCCAATGTCAAGATCGAAACCCACTGACCGTCTCGCGTTGTAACAAAGCGCAAAGGAAAAATCGTCAAATTTTAACCCTCCTAGCTTCCATTTTCAACTAACCTTTGAGACATTTTATCTCTAAAAGCTAATTTTAAAATCAAATTCTCTTGTTTTATTTAGATTTTTTCCATATGCAATCGTTATTAATGTGCGTTATCTTATATAACATAGATAAACCCAATATACTGTCTACAACGCTAGTCTCCGAGCTTTTTTGTTATTAAAGCTTCTTATCTGTAGAAAACAATCATCAAAAATTACGCTTATTAAAATAATTGATATTCAGTCGTGGCCCCCCCACATCGTTGAGAGATTCTTGCTAATGCACGTTCATTCCAGGCCCCATAGAGACCATATTGTGGATGACGACTTGAATGAAATTGAAAATGAGTTTTATGAGAAATTAAATTCACTAATTTCGTGGTCGATTACACGAAATTTGAAAAATGGCAAAAAGGAGGGAAAACTCATAAGGTGGGGTTGAGATAGGAAGTTGATGTCCGAGTGGATCGAGGTCACGATAGCTCAAGTGGTAGAGCAGCGGCGTATCTAGCCGAAGATCGTGGGTTCGAATCCCGCTCGTGCCATTGACTTTTTTTCATCTCAACTAAAAACGATTAACGGTCACTAATCTCTACACATTTCAACTAAAAACCTTAATTAATTGTAATTTATGAGAAATCTTTTCCAAGGAATGCAAAAAGCTCTTAACGGACTTGATCCATGCCAGAAGTGGAACTTTGTACTAAAGAGGACCAAAAAAGTTAAACAAAAAATTTGGTTTTTTTGAATTTTCTTCCATGATTATTCAGTGTATACTATATATTTTTTTTCTTAAATTATTATCAAGGACTGAACTAAACAATCCCCAATGATTAGGAATTTTCTGACAGTATAATTTTTGGCCTACGAATAGAAAATTTCATCTTGTTCGGACGATTTTACTGACTAATCAGCAAAATTCCTGATGCTGTGTTTCTTTCAAGTATGAAGTACAAAAGCAATATGACAATTTTTTTTAAGAAAAGTAATTTGGTCAATAGACTACTAAATATAATGGATTTAATATGACAATTATTAAGAATCTCTATACGTTGTAAAATAAGACAGAGGACATACATTTCACTTGAACCTAACACTTAACAAAATGTGTGGTGATTAGTGACCGTTAATCAATAATTATTCAGAAATTGTGAGATGCGGTCTGGTGTGATGTAGGTTTCAGAAAAACATCTTCTTTATCGTGCCAACGTTTCGATCTTTATTGAGATCATCTTCAGGGCCTGGGATTTACAAACATTGTTTTAATTTAATAAATACATGTAGGATGTAGAAAAAAGTTAAATACCTTGATTGAATATTAAAAAAAATATATTTTGCATTGTATAAATTCACTTTTTCCACATCCTACATGTATTTGATAAATTTAAACGATGTTTGTAAATCCCAGGCCCTGAAGATGATCTCAATAAAGATCGAAACGTTGGCACGATAAAGAAAATGTTTTTCTGAAACCTACATCACACCAGACCGCATCTCACGATTTCTGAATAACTTAACAAAATCATGTATATTAAACAAAAGCTATTCTTTATAAATTCCACACAAAACTTTTATTGATCTGAAATATTTTAAGTTGAAGTCGAATATTTTGTTTGTTTGTTACAGACATGGACTACGACCTTAAAAACGAAGATGATTTCTTGGACCAGTTTAACGCTGATTTTGACGTAAGTTGATCAAAATTTTACAAATCGTTCAATTTATACGAAAATATTTTATCGGTGATTTTAAAACAGTTACTTCTTCCTGGCGATGATCCCCTTGACGCTAAAATGTCGCTGGACAGCGATTTCCTCAACTCGTTGATGCAGGACGACGATCCATGGCCTGACATTATGCCAAACATTTCGGATATCGCCGACAATGGTTTGTTGATCTCAGTTGAGTATGTTTTATGTCACTAATGCCATTATTATTTCAGGTTCGGTGGATAATGATTTTCAGATTAAGAGGGAGTCAATATCACCTGTTGACTTTCCGATAAGCTTAAGCTCTGAATCCTCTAATTCCTCAGATGTAAAGGTAAAATAATTTTTAACCATTTTTTTTACTAACATTAATCAATGTAAGACATGTGACCAATAATCTTGCATTGTGATAACAATTTTTGCTAATTTCAAACAATCAATTGACCATGTACAATTGCAAAACCAAGGCTTAAAAATTCAAATCACTTTTTCTTGTTAAAAAAATATTTGGTCATGGTTTCTTTGTAGTGTGAAGTAAATTCTTAGTTTGTCACGTCCTTGCTAGTAGCAGCATCTTTATTAATCCCTACTAGGTCAATTTAGTTTTATTAAAATTTTGTTAGTGGCCATGTGTTTGTACATATTGTAAATTCTATCTAAATAAGTATTTTGCTGTCGTGGTCATTCACATAGCATTTAGTTGGGGATCTTCGAAGTAATATTTTATGATTGTTTAAGTTTTGTCTGGTTATAGTCAATTTTGAGTTAAGTTGGTCTTGGCTTCTTTGGAGTTAGGTCAATTGTGGAATAGTTGTAAATTTATCCTAGTGTTTGTGTATTATTGGTATTGACTAATTTTATGGTTGTGTTTTGGTCTTTTGTCTTTGTAGAAGTAACCAATTCTAGGTTGTTAATTCTTGTTTGGTCCTGGTTTCTTTGTTGTGAGGTCAGTTGTATGGTAGTTGATTCCAATTTCGTCCTGGTTTCTTTGCAGTGTTTGTCAATTCTAGGGTTGTTAAAGTAGTGAGGTCATTATTAAACTTTAATATTTATGAATAGATCAAAACCAGATTGCATATTATCTCAGCAATTATTCAAGTTGATGTAAAGTTTATTTGATTGTGATTGATTGATTGATTAATTGATTTCACAGTTTCATCTGGAAACGCCACCAGTGTCTCCACCATTTTCGGAAAGCCCCAATCAGACGGGCATTAATTTAATTCCGACGCAAAACAAAATAAAGACAGTCCTTAAAATCAACCCAAACAACATCAAAATCATTCCCAATTTAAAATGTACGTACAAGATTATTTATTAATTTAAAAAAATTTTTTGAAAATATTATAAGATTAATTTTTCTTTAAGGTTTGAAACCAGTCGGAAAGCAGACCCAAGTCGTACTTCCAAAGGAAATTTTCCAAAAGGTCATAAATCTCAAGACCAAGACTGAAGCAGAGACGACAAAAACTATAGCGCCTTTGTCGGTCTCGCAAATCAGTTATGTCGACAATGTTCGTATTAGCTTAAGAATTTTTTAGATAGTGATTTTTCACATTTTAGATTATCCCAAGCCGCTTATAATGCCGAATAAGATAAATCCCCTGCAATCGACCGCATTAAAAAACACTGTACATACCAGCATCCCTACTTGCACAGTGACAACGCCGAATCCAATCTTGCCATACATTAAACAGGAAAATGATGTCCGGCTGAAGAAAAACGACATAAATGTATGAATATTTTCATTCTGAATTTAAAAAAAAAAAAAAAAAAAAAAAAAAAAAAAAAAAAAATGAAATCTGATGCATGTGTACTTTTTTTTAACAGATCAAAGCATTAAAAAGGCAACAGAGAATGATCAAAAATCGTGAATCTGCCTGTCTTTCAAGGAAAAAAAAGAAGGAGTATGTTACAAATCTTGAAGCGAGGCTTTCTGATTTAGAACAAGAAAATTCCAGACTTAAAATGGTAAATTAATTTTTTGAAAACATTTTTGAATATTTTTCAAATTGGAATGATTTGATTTTAGGAAAATGACACATTGAGAGCAAGGATAAAAGAGCTCGAAACAGACTTTCCGCACAGAGAGAAGACGAAAACCCTTTTAAACACAAATTTGAGAAAGACGACTGCTGTCTTCGCCGTTTTTCTCATGATTTCTCTAAATATCGGATCATTGAGGTATACGCTTGTTAAAAAGATCTTTGTTCATTTATTAAGGCTTATTTTACAACAGCATGCTGTCAAGAGATGTTCCTGTAGAATTTAAGCAAAAAAGTGATACCGGAGGCGCCCACCGTGGTAGATCTTTACTCTGGGCTTCGATAGACGTCTCAGAAAAACCTGTAAATACGAGCACGATTCCTAAAACGACTTGTCCTTTGTACATAAACCAGTCGGAATCCATTAGGTATGTTGACTAAAATATTGCAATTTTCTTCTTATAAGACTTGATTACTTTATAAAATTCAGGCTAGAAGAAGAGCTAAGAAGATGGATCGCTGTCGACGTGGGAAACGGCAGATATTTGAATTCTACAAGAGTAAATTCGAAGAAAGCCAAATCGAAAATCTTCCCAAGGCACTATGTGGTTCAAACCCCCCAGAGGTTTAAATCGTCAAAATTATTCAGATCGTAAGTGCAAGAAATAATTCAATTTTTGTCCACAAACTTATTACTTTTTTTTTTGTTAAGGCAAAGAAGAATCGTGCACGCCTTGGATGTATACAGAGCACCGTTTCCAGGGTCCCTTCCGAGAAGAGACGATACATTTTATGTTGTTTCTTTTTCAAGCGATCATCTTCTGATACCAGCAGTTGCGCACAACAACACACTTCGTCCCAAAATGTCTTTTGTAATTCCAACTATCCCTCTAAATGGTAAGTTTTTTTAAAAATAAAATGTTTTAATCTTATCAATTCCTGACTAAGATTGACTGGTACAATAAAAAAATCCAAATATAATCGACTAAAGGCACCCGCTCCATGTCCTTATAAGATACTTAACCGGATCACACAGAAAAACTGAAAATGGTGAAACTGACAGACAATCTAGGATAATCAGACTAAAATGATTACTAATGATCAAATTGCAAATTTTAATCTTATATCTGGGGATTTTTTCAGATTCTGTCATCATAAATGGAAGCATACCGATGATGCAAATCGATTGTGAGGTCCTAGCAACGAGATCGATCGAATTTACAGAAGAAGATTTTAAGATATTTAAATCCCAAGGGGTCGTACAAAGAAATGATAATAATTCAGCACATGGTGAGTTAAAATTTGCAACTTTTCTTTGTATTATAACTAAAGTCAATTTTTTTCAGTTTCAGTGACTGTACCATCTTACAAGCCGTACTTCTTGCAAAAGCAGCGTCCTAAACCAAATTCTGAGTACGACACAAATTTCGACACTTATTTAAACAGCGTATACAAAGCTGCGTTTCCTTGAGCGGCATGCGTTCTGTTCATAACGTTTGATCTCAATTTTGTATTAACGAGTCCATGAACCTGTCGACGATGATGTGATGATAGTGTGCATTTGTTAATACGAGACAATTTTTGTACAGGCTTGTGTAAATGTACAGTATTAAAGAATTTTTGGCCAAGGAAGTTCTAAAAAGTGAAAAAAAAGCACAAACTGTACAAGTTCCAGCAAAGTAGCTTTTGTAGTGTATAAGTGATACTCTTAGGCATGAAAGCATGCACTCTTGACCTACAACACTGTTTGTACTGAAATTGAAAAAAAAAAAAAAAAAAAAAAAACTGCTAACAGTTTCCTTCTAATTGAGTTTAGTTTTCACATTTATGAAAATAACGTGGAACATCTTGTTTTATCTTGACAGGAACAGTTTCAACCGTTTATTGTTTGATAAACGATAACTTTTTTCAAACGATACAGCTAACGATAATTACTTCTAACTCACCAGGTGTGAAACCTATTTTTTCTTCTTTATTTTTTGTTTGTTTATTGCAAACTGTAATCATTACAGTTTTGCATTGTTTTAAAATGTAATTAAATTTAAACATGGGGTTTAAAAAGGATTTTAAAGGTAGTGCAATTTTTATTTTTAAAATAAATTATACCTTTTTTGTTTGTTTTTAATTATTGATGAAATGAGGTTATTATATATATATTTAAAAAAAAGACTGTATTATAGTATGTTAATTAAAAAATAAGTGCAATATTATATAATTTGTTGTTAATTCATTGAAAACTTTTACCTAGATTTTTTTAAAAATTTAATGGTTTATCACAATCTGCAATTTGTTATTACATACAATTTGCAGGTACATAGACATATATTTACATTGAGGGGAGCAAATAATTCTCCCACTTTGCTTCACTAATGAAACTTCGTACCTACTCCTCAGAAAGGAAGGCTTGGGTTTATTTCCTCTCGAGATGCCTTATGGGATTGCAGGGTTGAGTTATATTGGACAAAGCTTGGGTAAGACTATTTGGGTGATGGGTGATTATTATGGGACTTGGTAAATATTTTGAGGAATTAAGTTTTGGATAAATGTAATTTTATGGCCGTTGTGGAAGGAAGCATTTGATTCATAATATGGAGTATTTATAATTGATGTGAGGACTTTAGATGGGAGACATTGGGTATTGGAATTTTTTGCGGTTTCCCACGGTTTTATACCATGTCCAAATCGGTTGTAGTAGAGTTTTGTAGAGTAAGATTGTTATTGTTGTTATTAATTAAGTAATTAATTTGTTGTCAGGGCTGTTTATTTTGAAAGGTAGTAAAACTGTGGAATGAATCTTCTCCTAAAGGTTCAATTTTAGGATTTCAGATAGCTGATTTGGACTCAAACGTGCTTCGACATTAACCATCTTCAGTGATTTGTGTCCTGGTCTGGGTATAAACAGGGTGAGGCACCGACACAAATTCATCCTGCAATGGCAAATATATATAGAATAATTGGAATTAGTGACAATGATAATAAGGTAATCTTTATGACGCTGCTGCTCTAACCACTAGAGCTATCGTAACTTCAAGTGGTTAGAGCAATGGCGTATTGAGGTCGTGGGTTCGAATCCCGCTCGTGACACTAACTTTTTCATCTAAAACAAAACCTTACACAAAAATAAATTAATTGAAAGAAGTTATTTGGTCAATCGGACCACGAAATATAATGAATTTAATGATAATAAGTTTGATCTAGTACTTTTTTATATAATCTGTTTTTGCATTCTGAAGCGGTTAACTTTGGATTAAGGTAAAAATGGACGATCATAGGATAAAATTCTAATAGATCAACGTTTTGCTAGAGCTTAAGATGGTTTGTTTCTTATGTCGAATTTTAAGCCAACCTGGTTGATTTCATTTTTCATAATAACAGGTTAAGTGATTCATTATTCCCAGGTGGTTTGAAACAACAGTGGGCAGGTTGAAAAGAAGAAAATTTCCAGCCTTCGTAGTTATTATCAATTTCCTTAATCGTAAAAGGAAATGCTGTTTATACACGTCTTAATTAAGATTTTTTCAGTTCAACAATAAAATCCTTTGCTCAAGAGCCCAGAGATTGAAATCTCTTCTCGTTTCGAAACATAGAGGCGGGATGTCCGGCTGATTTTTGTATAAACGACCCTCTGAGTTCAACCGGCAGAGTTCAAACGTTAACTTTTATCGACGGTCGTTAAGCACATCGTATAATAAAGCGAGAACGGGCGGACCGGCCAGTTTTCATGGGTAGTTCTCGACGGTCAACAGGTTCGATGCACGGGAGAAAACTTATGTTAAATTTGTTAAGTGACTTAAATTGTACATAAAATCACTCAAATATTCCTAGATTTTATTTCCTTTTTTCCCCCAAAAAATATTGACAATTGTTCTTTTTCACCTTGGTCATAATCAATTCTCGCCCTGATATTCTCTCAGCTCATTCTTTCCCTTTCTACAACTCTACTTATTATAATAATTGACGAATTTTGGTGGCAGTTGGCTGGGTCTTTCAAAAATGAAACCTGTCTTGTGTAATTTTAAATCACAAAAATACCACATTCGTCTGAAAAATATGATGTTGGCAACACCAGGATCGATGGCCTTTACTTATTTTTAATTAACCCCTTTTCCTCTTTGAAAAGGACGAGCACCGTTTAGGCCGGATCGCGTTGAAAAATCGACGAATACTGAAAAATTCAGAAGCAACTCGAAATCATTGTGGAGTTCGATAATGTGCTACATTCGAAAATAATTGCTCGTGTTCTATCGTTTGTCAGCTTAAAAATAGAATATATAAAATATTTCTTTTATTTGGCTTTTTTCGGGTCGTAATAACACTACCAAAAGTGTTATTTATTTAGACACCATTAAGAAAAAATTGTCCCGTCCCTAATCCTTTCCCTACCTAACATTAATAACTTAACCAGACCTGTCCCTAACCCTAACCTTTTCGAACCATCCATAACTTAACCTAACCCTACCTATATTTCCTTTAACGCGTCTACTTCTTTTGAGTGGAACCACTCAGTTTCTTCCCCCCCCAATCCCATATAATTGAAGAGCTTTGGAGGTTCATTTGTTTGAGATATTCTCCTTCTGTAATCACCGGCAGTTATCAGCTGTACCTTTCTTGGGTTTTTTGGGTTTGGCCTTTGACTTCCACCAGTGTCATGAAATCTTCTGTTTTCTTTTCATATTCATAATATTCTACTATTACCACGTTGTTCCTCTTATTTAGGATTAGGATAAAATTTTCATTTTCAAATTTCATTTTATTATCCTAACTTACCACCTAACCATTCATAACTTAACCTAACCTGTCCTTAACCCTAACCCTACCTATATTTCCTTTAATGCGCGTACTTCTTTTGAGAGGAACCACTCAGTGTCTTCCCTCCAAAATCCCATAAAATTGAAGAGCTTTGGGGGTTCATTTGTTTGAGTTATTCTTCTTCTGTAATCACAGGCAATTATCAGCTATATGTTTCTTGGGTCTTTTTGGTTGGGTTTTTGACTTCCACCGGTGTCATGAAATCTGTCTTCTTTTCGTATTCATAATATTCTACTAATACCACGCTGTTCCTCTTATTTAGGATTAAGATAAAATTTTCATTTCCAAATTTCATTTCATTATCCTAACTTACTACCTACATAACTTAACCTAACATGTACGTAACTCCTAACCTAATCTAACCCAACTGATGCGCAAAATGCCAAAATTGCTTGACTAGCACAAAAACATATCACTAAAAAATGTATAAACATATTTTTAAATTTTAATTTAATATGTAAACAAATCACATTGAGCAAAAAAATTATAGCTGACCTTTTCTATTTCTGATTTTAAAATAACACTAAACATTATTGAGGCCAGTAAATGACTATTTTTCATTCTGATCCGTCTGCTAAACATTCAGAATTAGGTTATCAAACCGAGCCAAGTATTAAAAAAATCGTATCCTTTTTTTATTTCGGAAATTCAAAATTATTCTTGCTCTAATAATCAGGTCAAACGATTTTTTCCTCCTTCTGACCGGCTCAAGTCAGAAATATACACCAATGAGGTCAAAATTGCTAGTGGCAAGGTCAATTTGTTGTCTATGTATTTTCTCGGTACAACGACCAACTTGTTTTTCGTGCGTGGATTAAGATTAACAAACTTCACAACATCGGCCAGTAGAAAAATTAAACTAATTAAAATATAAAAAGTGGCTCAAGAATTTCTAGTTTTCGACCCACACAAAAATTCAACACAACTGCAAAAAAACAGTATCATTTGTTTGTAGTAAACAAACAACAACAACAATACTCGATCAATGGACCTTTATATTATTGACGTTGTTTATGTATTAATAGTCAATTAAGTAGGAGTAACACAACTACAAAAAAATAATTAATTAATGGTTATATTATATAATTTCGGAAATGTAAAAATAAGTAAATAAAGGAGAGCGTTAACCGATTTTTGAAATATACCACAGTGAATCGTTAATATAATATTATATATGAATATTTATCTCTCCATCACTTTCTCTACCTGCACATTGATATAATTATTACGAATATTTTTGTGTGGATCTTCACAAGTAAAATGTCAAAAAAGGCTAGGGCATTGGACATGAAAATCTCGAAATTATTTACAAGGGCGTGATTTCTGCCCAATGAAACTATCATTACAAGGTCTCAAAACAAAAGGGAACAAACAAAAACATAGGACAATCGTAGACTACGGACGTCAGGGTTATAAAGAGGGAGAGGCAAGGAAGGCGCTGATTCTTTTTCATTAACCGAAATAAATAGTTTATATATCCTGAAACGGATTAGTTACTGTGCGCGCTGGTGGGTCGCAAAAACTAATTGAATTATCTAAAAGAAAATTGGCAATAGGTTAAAATAAAAGACTCAAAAATTAATAGGGATATTGCCAACTTTGTAGTATTTACTTTCTCTAACATTTTTATTTTATTTTTATTACAAATTACATTAAAATTTGTTAGAAATTACAATGTTTTTTCTGAAGGAGAATTTAATTAAGGGATTTTGAAAAATAACAAAATAAAAGGTTTTAATTCCATAATTTTGTTTATTGGACACAATAATTTTTCTAAACTATTAATACCCTGTGTAAAGTCCTTTGTTGTCTAAAACCTCTGTGCATTAGGTGGGCATACTTTTAATAAGGTTATCAATAATTTCATAAGTAATTTCACTCCAAAGACGTAACGCTGAACTCTAGTTGTTGCACGTCAACTGGCTGCTGATGGTGAT